ATTCCCTTTAAGGGGTAATAAGGGCTCACTTGGAGGGTACCAGAAAAATATTTTTTGGATAATTTCTAGAAGATAATAACAGTTGAAAATCGAATTTCAACTTTGTTAGTAAGCATTATTTTGAAAGTGTTCCATGTTTAATTGGGGGCATATAAACATTGTTGCCGTTTTTCTAATATAGGTTTTTGCAAATTTCTCAAGTTTTTAATAACAATTATTTTTTTTTACAACTTTTTCTGTACTCCTAAAACACCGCCAGACAACACCTCCAGAGGAATGACGCCAATTTTGAATCACCCTGTATTTTACACATTTTAATTAAATATTTATACAGGGTGACCTACCGTGAACCACCGCGATCTATACATGGCAAACTATATTTAGGAAATATAGTAAAAAACCACCGAAGCTACCAAACAACTGATGTAAAAGTAAGCGAGAATATGAGTTCAGCTCCCTTTGATATGCGACTGGTTTTCCCATATAAATAAAAGACAGTGTTTAATTTTTTCTATTTCCAATAAAACAATGTGCATTTACTTGGAAACAAACTGCATAATGACTATACAATAAGTAGATACTGTTGAAGTAACCGCCCCCAGCAGTCCCCAATTGACTTGAAAAAAGCCTCCAGCATGCAAGCACAGTTTCCTGGTTTTACTTTGATCCAATAGAAAGGTGATCTCTTGCACAACTAGCTGGTCACATGGGTATTGTTTGCTGTTGTTAATTTTATTTAAAAATGTGTAACAAAGAGAGGCTGTTCGTTCCCCTTGCCCTTGGAGTTTTTCTCCGATGAGCGAACTTACTGCGATTTGCCCCTGAAAGTTAAAATCTGTGTTTCCATATCTGTATATAACCATCTATAGACTTACCACTGTGCTGAGCGCACTCATTGACTGGATGGCAAAAACAAATATATTGGAATAAAGGAGAGTATTGCCCGACTTCGGCTTCGTTCCGAAGCTTATTAGAACCGTGCAATTGTACAAAATGTTGACTATAGCAGTGATTAACATAATGGCTAAGAAGGCTTTAATGAAGCAATTAAACCTGTCGATGAGATTACATAAAACAGTATAATGACGCGAAAGAGTCAGCAAGTCGCGTATGCTACACGAGAGCTCTGGACTTATGCGATTTTTCCTTGTATAGAATTTCGGTATGTAGAATACCCTCTGGTGTGCGAAAGGACAATCTCTGCCAAGCTCTTCAAGATAATCGTTCATGCCTATGAAGTGAATGTTGATTTTATCAACCAATTGTGCACAAGTACATACCATCAAGTTGAGGCAATAAAGCCATATGGATCGAGGTACGAAATATTGGTGCAAATGCCAACCGACTCGATCCTGAAGGAAAAATCCTTCAACAAGAATAGGAGCTAGTGGAGCTAGACGCATCGCACAAATTATTCTCGAATGGGATGAGTTCGACTCCTTTGGTGTAAACTTTCTCTTGCTCAGAAATGTAAATAGCTTCACAATAAAGGCACTGCGGATGAACCCCACAACACCCATAATACTGACAAAAACCAGCAGAAAATCGCTGAAACAACTGATAAAAATCACCATTTCATTTTTAAAATATTCGGACTTATGGTACAAGGCGAGCCTGCCAATAATGCAGACTATAAACCCGGAAACATTTAATATGATCAAGATTATCTGGAAAATTTTGAAAAATGTTTTATAGTGCAAGCTTAGAAGCAGCAGCCGTATTTCAAACGGGTAATTTTTCACAAAAGCCACCATTTTGAGCTGCAATGGCTCTCTGTAGTTGGTTACTGACTAAACAGATAAGGAATTCAATAGAGCGAAATGTTTTGTCAATCAATTACCTGTGTTAATTGGAGTAATGTACTAATTATTATGTCGTTTGAGGTGAACAACTTTGAATAATAGATACGTTTCAGGCCGGCACGCAATAGAAAACATATATCTATATCTCGTATCTATCTGAAGAAATTGGTTTTGGGCGTTTTTCTTAATTTCGTTTTGAAACGTATTTTTGAACACTGTAAAGATCGTTAACAAAATTGATCAAAAATCTTTTAAAGAAAGTCTTTCGACAAAGAATGCAACTCAAATTCAATTTTGCAACTGAATTAGGAGGTATTTTTTGCAGGCAAACCAATTAGTGGAAACTATCAAATGTTAAATTTACTTTAGGACAATCCAACGATTTCAGTTTTTGTGGTCAAAAACTGTGCATTTCAGAAACAAATAAACGCTTTTCTGTTCACGCAGCCGTAATTTTCTCGGATAATCCAACGGTTTTCATTTTTTTAATCCAAGATCTTTCATTTCATATTCTCGAAGCTAAACACGCTTTTGTAAGAAATGGGGCGATCAAATTTGAAAAACGTCAGTTTTTCTCAGCCGCTTTAACGGGAGCCACAATGTTCATTATTATTGTAACTGTACAGTTAGAAGTATTTCTCGAGTGTGAATTGCTGTGAATCTTGCGTATTTTTTGACTAAAATGTAACTGTACATTAGAGATTTTTTTTTAAAATTAATTTATTTAAAAAAAAATGCTTAACAGATAAGCAACAATTAACAGGCAATACTGTAACAAAAACCGCAATCAACACAGAGAAAAAACAGTGAAAATAATTCCAAGACTTTCACATTTGGAGCGTAAAATTAAAGTTTGACGAGGAATGGATCACGTAAAGCTCTAAAGAGACTTCGGCCATTATCAAGCAAATCGGGCTCAGGTTTCAGAAGTTTTCTTTGTGCTGTTAGCACTTAATTTTCAGCTTTAGAATCATGTGAATTTTTTGCAATTAGCTGAGCAGCGCTGGATTGCGACTTTAATTTTGATTGATTTTACAGAGAAACCAAATCAGTTTTGAAATCTCACTTTACGCTTCTATGCTTTTATTACTTTTACTAAATTATTGATTTTTCTCACTTTTACTTTTGTGGTCAACCAACAACAATGCAACCATGTTGGGTTTGAGATCAGTTATTGCTCGGAACAGTCGTTGACAAGATGTTCCCTCACAAAATCACCTTTTTACCTTTTTTCCTTACAGTAATTGTTCTCAACTTAGGTAAGCCTTAGATACCATAAAATAGCTTTTTATTCATTGGATTTTAATATTCACAGTATCGTCAGTTGCAAGTGAAACTGTGACGGAGGTTTGCGAAAACTCCGAGCGAGGCGATACCGGATGCGTTGGAGATGAAAAGGAAAACATTTACTCAGAGGAATCAAATAAACCATCATTTGGTAAGCTCTACACATTTAAGCTTTAGGTGTTTAGGGTTTTTTTATGCAATTTAATTGACTATTAAATGTTTTTAGTTTTGAAGAAAGGGCAAAAATGCGCTTTGCTCAAAATACAGGCATTGAAAGTTGCTAAAAATATTGGATTTATTTAAATTGTTTGTAAATTGCATGAAATTTGTCCCAAAAATGGTGAAAATTGTATTTTTGGGGGTTTCGACTCAATGATTATGAGGAAAAAAATTATATATGCATACCTATATCAATTTAAACTTAAGCTTTCGATCGAAACACTTCTGATGAGGATACAAGCCACTCGTACTTGCGAAATGTCGGAAATAATTTTTATTCAGTCCAGTTTTCCAATCAAAGGTATTTAGAGAGTTCTTTTCAGCCTAAGGCTATAGAAAATAGCCTTGTCTAAATAGTGAAAATAGTCTATTACCTTATCACAAGTCCTCAAAATTCTCAAAAAAACTTCGGAATGTGCTGGAAACTTCAATTGGGCTCAGATTCTCTCTAGCTTGACAGCAAACGTCAGAAAGTTTCCGATGTAAAAAATCACTTATTGTGTCGGGAAAACACAGCCAAAGGATAAAGGAAAGCTCTAATTTTCAGAAAATCGACCACTTTCCAAATGAATGCAAAGAAAAAATGGAAAATTCCCATCCCTTGTTAAACAATGTACTAACCTCTGACAGAGACAACAAAGATACTAACCTTTGACGTTTTGACATGAACTAACTTTTAATTAATCATAATTAAGAGATAATTTTGCTTAAAATGAGCTGAAAGGGCGCGGCGTAAGTTCTTAAGATACCTCAGACAATTTTCCACTCACCAACGCAAACCCACCTTTAATTAATTTTTGTGAAACAATCAATTTGATACACTTTAAAATGAATTAAATTTTTTGATACTATTTTGATTGAGTTTGTTAATCCACCATTATTCAAACCATGGAATGATCTCCAGTTTTCCATGGTTAAAATTGTAATTAATACGTCCAATATACTCAAAGTTGCGCCGCATGATGCCAAAGAACGCGATTTATCTGAGATACAATTAAATTATCAGAAAATATTTGAGTATATTTCACTAGTTTTCCAGGTTTTTGTCAACAAGGGCCGCATTAAAGGACTTAAACATACAAAAGTTTAAAAACAGTTTATTATCAAGAACAAATGTATCACACATTCATTAAATTTGACAATTTTTTCATTTGCCTGCCAATAGTTACGCCCGACGTGGCAACCCAGGCACCGTCTTTCAAACCGCTGTCCCAACTTTCATCACTTTCATTGAGAAATGCTGATAAACAGTCCATAGAAATTCAGTGCTCAATTTGTGCGGTGGTGGGCTTTAATTTAAGTGAAAATAAATATATTTGTGATTTTACGTATATTTCGTTATTGCGAAGTAACCGGCCATGAAGATTTTTGCCATTTATGTCTTAGTTCTTACGATATTTGCTTCGGAAAGCACAAGTGCCATTGGTGATGGTAAGCAATTTCCCATGTTTGTTTACAAAATAGCTATAAATAGGCCGGCACTTTATATGTATTTTACTGGTAAATGAGTAAAATATCCAGATGTGAGCTTGTGATAATTGTCACGTTCCACGTTGGGATTAATATAGAATATAGAATGAGCATGGAGAAGGACTGTGTCGAGCACAGTCCTCTTGGTTTACAATGTAATTTATTAAATAATAATTGTGTTAGGGATTCAGAGTAATTGACAGTGTATTGCCTTAATGTTGGGGCTTTCAGGGTTCAATTTGCCCGAAATTTATCCCTAATTTGGACTCATCAACGGTAATAATTGAACAAAATCCAGCCAAGAGTGCAGAGGAAAAATCACCCCCTGAATCAACATAACGCTTATAACATGGTCATTAATACCACACTTGGTAACACTGGCCTAAACGTTTGCAGAGTAAACGAATAACACAGGTTTTATTGAAGAAAATCATGAAAAATTGAAACTTTTTTAAAACCAACATTCTTTCTGTGTGATAAAATAATGTAGATAAGTCTTGAGAATTGAGTTCATGCACAGGAAATCAGAGTAACTTTGATAAACACATTTAATTGCCATTGCCAGTGATGTAATCAAGCACACATGCAGATGTTTTCACCATAAATGATTTAACAGACATTAAATGGATGTGCAACAATGTTGCCATCAGATCTGTGGCTCATCTTTATTTAAAATTCCAAATCAACATCAATTCCTGGGCTTCAGTCATTTATTGTCTATTTATCAATTAAAATACGTTTCGGTGTTTTCCACCATCATCAGTTTCTATGTGTAGCGTTGT